TCATTGCTCCATGGTTCAAAAAACTTGTTTTGTTTTCTCTAAAAACTTTTCTCACTGCCTTTTGTCTTTGTCTTTGTCTCAAAAATAAATGCACTGTCTTTTTCAGACAACGAATTGATTATTGATTATTCCCTCCAGTTATTTTCTCACTTTTGAACCCGTACATCAGCTGAAATGCTTTGACAATACCGTGCTGGAAAATCTACAAGAAAATTTTTTGTCATTTTTTTAAATCAAAGTGCAGTGCATAGTGTACCAACAGTCGCAGTCTCCAGTGCAATTAAACGCATAAAAAGTCTCTTTCAAAAATCCAGCACTACCAGAAGAAAATATCTTTTGAAAGACACAAACCATTTGCAAGCAACAATTAAGACGATTTAGAAGTGTCTCCAAAAGCTCGAAACTTTATAAAATCTCAGTTTTTATATTTCTAGACTAATAGATTTTCATTTGGACAGATAACAAAACTACCGCAATTTCTTTTTGTTTTGCCGATAATGAACAGCTAAGAGTTTTGATATAATCTTTTAGTAACTCTTTTAGGAACAACATTTGCTTGCAGAATGCATTCTAATCAGATGAAGCAAAAAAAAACTTTTCGCCGTTTCGATGATGTTCAAGAGAACTAGACCCTAACAGAAAAAAATCTTGATTTTTCACAAGCGCTTCTTAGGTGTTTCTAAAACTTAACCCCGAGCCTACGCTGTATGGCTGTTTCATTAAAGTTTCCCTGAACTACTTGAGAAGAACTCATATTGAAAAAAGTTTGATAAAAACGCTGTTTTGGCACTTGAATTGGTACCTGCACTTGTTTTCGAAAAAAAAGAAAAACGATATTCATGAAAAAAAAACTAGCAAAAAAAATCAAATAGATTAATATCGTACAGTTAGTATTTGAAAAACAATACAAAAAAGAACAACCATATTTTTTTTGAATCAAACTACAAACCATCTAGCCAGGAACTGAGAAATTTCCTTCACCTTCTGGAAAAAGAGAGAAAAAGTGTCATCCACCTAAGTATGAACAACAAATACAGTTTATGGCTGATACTCTGGCATAAGAACATTTTTTGAAAGCTGGATTCCCAATAAGTAGAAAAGGATAGCAAAAACAAACCAATGTTCAAAAAACCAATAATCATAATAAATTTTAGAAAAAAACTCTAACGGAATCTGTGCGTAAGAGCATAGAATACGCTGATAGTCTATTTAAAATAAACTGATTTAAATTTTTTTGTCCTTTTGATTTGAAGCTAAAGCCTGTGAACTTTTTGAAACAGGGATACGGTTTGTCATTGTTTGTGAAAAGAATACTTTGTACAGCCTCCAGGTGAAAAAAAAAAACGCCTTGTCTTGACTATCTTTTGATAAAACTGTCCTCGATTGCATTAAACGCAAGGATGGGGCTAAGTGCTGGCATTTTTTTAAACGTTGCAACTGTAAGCCAACAAATTGCTAAAAACAGTCAAATATTCGATGGTTTAGAAACATCAACAGGTCTTACATCAAATTGGTTGGTTTCAAATCAGATTATTTTTTTTCATCACAAAAGTTCCATTTTTAAACCATTTTTTGTATTCATTCTCTTATCGACAAGACTTTGCTTAGGATCATGATGCAAGTAGTCTAAAATGTTTGAACGTGTGCCTGTTTAGTTCTAAGAGAATTTTAGCAGTATGTATGTTTTTTCAATTCAACTTTGCATTTTTTTATTTATAAAGCTTGGTTGATAAACGACGCTATTGTTGAATTTTTATCAAATAAATTTTACTCAGATTTTCATTTTTGTCATTGGAAAATGATAATTTGTATGGTATTTAAGTGATTTTGAGGTGAAATGGCGAGGGGAGTTCAAGTGCAGGAAAGTATAAGGTATCCTTCTTCAAACCCCAGTAAATGTTAAAAAAAGATAACAGTTAAATGATTTTTTTTTCAAATTCGAGATCAAGACATTAAAAGCTTTTAGATGATTTAAACAAGTCAGCTAAAAATAGCTAGGTAAAAAATTGGGTTTTGTCGGAAAAAAAATGAGCCCGACTACAAATATTCAGTCACTTTCTTTGAAATTTGGAGTTATAAATAACGCTCGATATTTTCTGCTTCTGAAGCCTTGGAGGAAATTCAACCATTCACAATCATATATTTTTTGCTCTTATTAAAACAGACACAAAAAAACATCATTTCCTAATTGCACAGCCTGTCATAAGATTAATTAAACTGAGAAAGTTTCTTTGATGAGGATGACATTTTCAAAAGATTTTTTTGGAGCAATCGGAACATCTAAGGCATTCAGAAAACCTACATTCAGTATTTGTTGTAATTTTCTTGAAATATTTTTTTCTTATGCTTAGCAGAAAATGAAAGTTTGCTCTTAAGACAAAGTTGTTTTTAAGCTAGCAAACCGGCAAAACCAGTCTTCGTTGTTGCCAGTTTGGTTTAAATAGTTCTAGGCGTTTTATGTAATTATGATTTTCGTACATCGTAACAATTGTTTTCTGTTTTCTTTCAGACTAAATTTTTTCAGAGCATAAAATAACTGCTGAAATTTAATTTTTCCGCTTTCAAATTGGCAGCAAATGTGTTTGTTGTGACATTTTTGTCTCTTGTCACAAAAAAACTGTCTTCATCTAAAAAAAATCTATTTAAAGGGTCAGGTTTTTTTCAGACTGTATTCTATAATTTTCTTTTCAGAGCTATGCGCCGGTTGTCTAGACAAGTCATTTAGTTTTTCGGGAGTAGTTTTTAGTGGATTCCATAAAATATCAAAAAATGCAGAACCTTTTCATTCGAAGCATCAATCACAAAACGATCTCTTTGAGGTATCGCAACACGGAAATGTTTCAGACAATTAGTTCACGCCAATTCGATTTCAAGTATTCAACGAGCCGGATCAATAAACCACTATTAAAAGAGTCCTAAATTTATCCCACAATTGCTAATGGAGACCTAAAATAATTTTAAAAAACCCTTATCAAAATGAACGATTAGAAATACTCCGATCTTTTCGAGGGTCTTATCTTACTTTACTTTTTTGGTAAATTGAACAAGTTCAAACATGGGTCAAATGAATTCGCTCGCACCTTTTCAAGATCCAAAAAATTCACTTAATCAGACAATACCCTTACAGCTTGTTCTTTTGATTGAACCCTTAATCTCAGATTTCACACTTTAGTTTCCGAGACAAACCAAAAAATTTCCAATCAAACAAAAGTCCAACTTTTCGAAAAAAAACTGTCAAATATTTGAAACATAGACTTTTACTTAAATTAACAATCCTATTTTACCTTAAATCTCATTTTTTTTGGGTTGGGGGTATTTATTACCATTCTTTTTTTCTTCTTCCCATTCAATTCTGGTTGCCATTTTTTACCATCCTAAAAAATCGACGCTAGAACTCCATTCTGGAAAACTCTTGCGCAAGTCAATGAAAGAAATAATTAATTTCCTGGAGGATTATTAACACGTTTTAACTGTCTTTGCCCTGACGGCTGTTAGGCGAATGCGACAGAACCATATCCCCTCTTACGCCATAAAAACTTCCCTTTTTCTGACTCTAAAGACTGATTCGTAGTTAGTTCGCAAATTGCTATAAATGATGTTGATATGCTGAAAATCAAGTTCAAGCTTCTCTAATTAAGTTCAAGCTGATTTTAGCACATTTTTTTCAACTCCACCCAAAGTGGCTATTTTCAATATTTCTGCTCAGTGCAGATTTTCGAATGTGCAGCGGAATCCAAAGTTTTTTTTTAGTTTTAATGTCTAAAGCGGAATTTTTTAATTCTGTCTCATGCATACATAGGAAAGTTTTGATATTCAAGGCTTGCCAATCACAAATAGATGCCTAAATAACTACTTAAGATCACTTTTTCGAAATTTTCTGAGACAAACTTTTTGAGAAAAAAAAACAACTTTGTTGAACCATTGGGCAATGTTTATTTTCCTCTAAAATTTTTAATCAGTAAAGGCCTATATTCAAGTTATGTTGTAAAGAGTTATACTACAGCTTTATATCTCGCAACATTCTTTTATATAATATCAGTGAAATAACTGCGCTGTCTTTTTCAGAATATGAAGTGATGATCGATTTTTTCTTGCAGCTATTTTCTCGCGTTTGAACCCTTACATCAGGTGAAATGCTTTGACAGTACCGTGACTATACTTAAAACATTTATGCATTATTTTAAACATTAGCCAGCTCTGGTTCACACCGAATTTTTTAAGCATTTTTCAGGGAATTCAATTTTAAAAATAGATGATTGTCACTTCTGAAGTCTAGAGAAAATGAGTTTTTAAATGTCAACTGTAGCTTAAATACGAGATATCAAATCAATTTTTGGAACGAGAGCTCTTAAAGTTCATTATTTTTTTCCGGTATCTTTCGCTAATCAATTTAAACATAATCTTAAGTTACCGTTTTTACCTTAATGGAAACAAAAATAGATGTGACATTTCAGGAAATCGTTTCCAAGGACATATGCGCATATATTTTAGTTTCTCGCTTTTTGTATGAACTTTGCTGCATCAGGCACTTTAAACCTTATCTTCTTAAAAATCGAATAACTAATCGGTTGAATTGATTTAAAGGAATTGTTAAAAATAGTTAAATGTTGACATTTAAAAACATCGATTGGTGTTATCTTAATAGGATTGATTTCCAGTAATTGCTAGATTAATAGACGGTTAACTATCTTTACTAACTTCTTTACTATCTTTACTCTCATTATTCTGTATTTAGATAAATCCGAAAAAATCTTCGTCTTTTCCAAAGAACAACTTCAGTTGCAAAGTCGAACTGAGTTACAAACAAGAAGCCATTTTGAAAAAAAAGAAAAAAATGTTTATTTTTTGAAACCGCAAATCTTTCAACTGTTACTTTTTAACAAAAACCTTCCCGTTACTTTTTCCAATTTTTTTTCGATTTGTATCAAACCTTATCTCAGTTATATCGCGCTTATACAGTTTCTTCAGATTAAATACCAAACTTTGCTACTTATGTTTAGTTTTGAGAAAAAAATTAATCGAATCAAATGACAAACATGATGTCAAGAAACTTCACTTCCATTTCTTTCATCGATGTCGATATGTCAACTGGAATCACGCTGGGGGAGGGGGTTCGATCCCCCGAGGATTCATTTCTTTTCAAACGATTCGGAGCCGTGCTGAGCAGTATCATCACTCTCGGATTGTTCGGAAATTTGCTCACTATTGTAATTCTATCAAAGTAAGATTTACAATAAATATTTTCAAAATATTAAGTTTTTGATATATTTTTGCAACGTAAAGCGCTTTTATTTTTTATACTTTAATTTTCATTTTTACTTTCGGTCAGAAATGAACACTGTTATTACGCTCATCAACCTTCTCCATCCCCTGCAATCCTGAAATTTAAACTAAAAAGGTTGATTTACTGATGTCTTTTTGCAGAGGGGAGGGGGTTAAAGGGGGGGGGGGGAGGGGGTTATTTATTAAAGAATCAATATTAATTATGTTTATTTGTTATTTCCAGTGGACGAACTCACAAATCGCACAATTCGCTGACGATGGGTCTGGCATACTCTGACCTGATGATGGTGCTGGGGTCCCAACTACCCTCCTGCATATCTGCATTCAGATCCAAGTGGTCCTTCTTCGGAAAATATGGTACTATGGTAGCATTAAAACTTCCTTCATTACAACTAATCATTTTGATTTTTTCCTATGATAAAACTCATTATTTAGGACAAATCTTACCTTTCTTTGTAAGTTCAATTAAATTGTGATGTTCTCTAACTCATCGAGATCAATAATTAAGTTTTTTTCCAGATTAACATAATCGATTCGCATAACCCCTTGGTTAGAGCTAGAAATCTAAAAAAGATATGCGTTGATATATGATTCTAATAACCTATCTCGTCGTTTCAAAAGGTTTCAAAAAAAAGTTTCACATTTTATAGAATAATGCTTATTGTACAATTTCTAATATATTTCTCGTACAATATTATGGAATAATGCTTTTTGTATGTCACGTATATATTTATTCAAAGAATGAAATCTTTTTTCCATAACCAGAAAAAAACAAGGGTCTATCAGACATACAATATTTTTGTTATTAAAGTTTTCAAAAAAGATTTCATGCGTGGGATCGTAAAAAAAGCATTTATTGAATAGAAAGAACTCAACTATGGTCAACAATAGTCAATCTATATGGAGATTCATAGATGGTTGTCACCCAACTTTCGCGCATTTCTAAGGAGATCATGTATAGATTAAAATTTTCATTGAATGCTGCTTCGAATAGAGGTGTCGCATCAATAGATTCGGGTAAGTAGCACGTTTTGTTTGTGTAAAAACAATTATCTCAGCTTCTTTCTTTTTATTGAATTAGAAGACCTTGAATTGTTACCTTCAGTCGAGATGCCGAGATTGTCAGCAAAAATCAAAAAACCAGCTGTTTGAAAGCTTTTATCACCGTAGCGCGATCAAATTGACGAAATGCTGAGAGTAGTTTCAAATGTAATCTCTCATACACTTTACAGTTCGCTCGTTTAAATAACATGAACAAACTATCTGATACAGCGTTGTTCAAAATGTGAAGTGTGACCCCGGTCTAGATGGTCATTGTATGTTTCAACCGTCTCGACTGAAATTCGGTATGTTTTGCCCGTCTCTACAGAAAAATTGTGCTCAACCGTGCTCGAATCAAGCATATATGTCTTGACCGTCCTTGAACGAAAACAATGTAATCGACCGTGCTAGACCCAAGCGAGATATGATTCACTGAATTCGGGTACGTTTCGAACTTCAACTATTCTTAGCTATCCCAAGTTAAACGTTATAAAATATGCGTTTTGGGTAAATATCTCAAGAAAGTTTTTTGATCAGAGCGAAACTATCGGGTTATTTGCAGCTTAAATGCTTTGTAGAGATATACTATTTTTGAGCCTATTTTTTTTCGTCCTTTAGATACTTTGGTTTTCTAACTGAGTCAAAAACGATAAGAAACAAGTTGATATTCGAAAACAATTTTTGTTTTTGACTCCGATTTATTGCGGACAATCGGTACTTTTTAACCGATCTTGTGATTTGTTCCGATAGTGCTCGAGATAGGTTTCGACCGCGATCGAGGTATGTTTCAACCGAGCTCACAGTATGCCTCGTCCGTGCTCGAGCTATGTTTCGACCGCGCTCGCAGTATGTTTTGACCGTGCTCTCATATTTCGACCGTGCTCGACCGAGTTTTGTTATATTTCGACCGTCATTACGAGGCCAAACTGTGCATTCTGTGCATTGTAAGCGATTTCCATGACAAATCTGATTTGGGCCTGTTGCGGAATCCGCTTACAATGCACAGAACAGCAAAGAAGATTGAGGAAATATAGCAATATTGCGGATTCCGCGACAAATCGGATTTGGGCCTGTTGCGGATTTCGCAACATTGCTATACTTCTTTGATCTTCTTTGCTGTTTTGGATTGCTCAAACGAATACCTAAAAAACTGTACCGTTCGTCGGAATCGCTCCAAAAATAAGCGAGTTTGCGGAATCCGCAACCGTATTTCGGGAATCCGGAACAGTTTGTGGAATCCACAAACAAATGATAAGACATGTGTATAGCTGATTTGAGCTGTTGCGGAATCCGCAACTGTAAGTGGAATCTGCAAACTGTAAGTGGAACCCGCACTTCGTTTTCCGATTTCGTTTACATATATCTATGTGTAGTAGCGTTTAAAACTATATCGAACAAATACTACGTTAATCAGCTACCAGTTGGAATGGCAAACAATCGATCTCAATTCTTGTCAAATACCCAACTTTGATCTCAAATCCTGTCGAACAAAAACCCAACTTGGATCTCAATTCCTGACAAATATATGCAACTTCGATCTCATCTCAATTCCTGTCAAACATACCCAGCTTCAATCTCACTTCCTACAAAGGTTAACTTCGATCTCAATTCCTGTCATCGTTTCCTGTAAACTTATTCATCAGTTCAATTCAAGCCATTCAATTAAAACAAAAAGTTTTATTTTAGCCCTTTCGGAATGTTTTCAAAATGCGAAACCAGAAGAGAGTTTGATAAGGCAACAATTCCAGGACTATATATGCGTGTTTTTGAACTTAAAATTTAATTCTGCTGTAATTCAAGTTTTGGAAATTTCTATCTAATACTAATTTACTCAAAATAGTTAAATAGATCACTTACACCCTGTGAACAAAATGATTTGAATTCAGGTTCTCAAATACTGAATCTCAATTACTGAATCTCAAACACTGACCTAATTCGGCGATATGTCAACCCAATAAAAAATTTACCCAATTACCGAATTGACTCAATGAATTTATCCGGTGTTGTGTTTCCAAAACTATGATCCAAAAAACTGCTGGCAAATACTAACGTGTGACATCCATCAATTTAGATAACCAATGGCTTAAATTTTGTTCGTGGATTCCGCGAACAATGGCTATGTCTTTGCTTTTAAATTCCGCAAGTGCATATCCAAGTTCAGTAATAAACAAACTTCTGAATTCTTTTACAGTTTGCGGATTCCGCTTACAAAATTTGTGGATTCCACTTATATATTGCGGATTCCACTTACAGTTGCAGAATCCAGAACAACTAGCTGTACTTGCTTGCTGCGAAATTCGCAACAAAACAAATGTGCCAACAAAACTTACGTTACAGATATTTGTATGCGGAATCCACTGAAACTCTCGTGCACAGTTTGGCCTCGTAATGGTGCTCATGTTTTGTTTCGAGCTTCTACTCGACTCAAACCCCTGTCTCCACCGTTTTTTTGCCGAACCTTGACGTTATCTTGCCTCTGAAAGTCGAAACGTAAATTGATCGCCTCAAACCCCGGTGAACTGAATGTGAGAGTACATATGAAATATACGACCAGCATTTTTTTGCAATTTGGTAGTGCATCAGTAATCAGATTTCCCAGAGTAATTGGTTTCGATTTTGCCGCCAAATCTCGACTGAAAATATCCGTTTCAGATCTTCAAATTTTTTCTTTCAGTACTTCTGAAGATAAATTATCCATCATTGAACCAATGCTAACTTAGTTTCTTTAGAATTAATTATAATTCTAACCTAGTCGGTTTTTTAAGTTTTTCGGTCTTGCTTTTTTAGCGTTACAATAACCTTTAAGCCATATGCGACATTATAAAGACTAACTATGATTCCGTAAATGTTTCCGTATTTCAGCTTATAAGCGACAACTGCTAAAAAAAATTTGAAGAAGATTGAAAAAAAAACACCCCGTTAGAAATGAGAAGCCATTTTTCACTATAATGAAACTTTTTTTAAATTAAATTTCGACTTCTTTCTAATTCACTGTATTCGTTTTTTTGATTGATTGACATTTGGTGTTACTGGGTCGTTATCATGAAAGATAAGTTGATTATTTTACAAAAGAAGTAGACTCGAAAACTTCTAATCTATTTAGACTTCACTTACTAATCAATCAATATCGCGTAACTTGAGCCCAAAATACCTTCCCTCTAATTCCACAAATAAGCTGTTCACCGTTTAAGTTTGTTGAAGGTTCCTAATTGAGCTCAATTTGAACTAAATTTCTTCTTTTTTCAATTTTTCAAATTTGTTGTCAATTGTTTTTTGTTAAATCAAATGACATTTAACCTGAGTTTACTATAATTTTCATCAATTGTAGTTTGCATTGATTACATTGTTTAAGCCTAACTCATAAAAATTTTCTTTGTTTCAAAATTTAGCAGAACAGTATAATAAAATAATAAACCGATGCATTACTTCTGTAACAATACTTTTTCCAGTGAAGTCATTATAAAAATGAAGAAATATTTTTACAAGAAGATCACTTGAGAGAGCGCTGTTTTTTGAATATCATTGAAACTGGGGGAAATACTTTGGGATGAGAGCCCAAATTTCTCACAAAATATAAAAAGGTCAAAGCTACGGCGCTTGATAGAAGTAGAAGTTGGGGTTTCCAGAATAATAATTAAAAACTTCTAGAATAAAACGTTATCAAAAAATAATGAAGGATTCAATTTCTGATTTATTTTTTAACTACAAAACAGCTTATTTACCAAATCAATAAGTTGAAGTTGTTTAGTTCCTGGTTATCAAAAGCTTTTATCGTTTCTGTAAAGTTAGCGAACAAAAAGAGCAAACTGTTGAAAAGGAAACGCGTTCTGGCTGCAATCGAGTGCTTTGATGTAAACTTTTTGTGTTTTGCGACAGCTCCCGCTATATTTCTTTTAGCTGAAGTTTTTTTTATTGATTTACTCTTTTTAGTTTTTCGGATTGGCGGTCATTCCGTGTTTTTTTGCACAAAACTTGAAATTGATTTTTTTTTGTTTTAGGCTGCACCGTTTCAGCTGCATTCGGGGCTTTCAGTGGCTTCAGCTCCATTCTCATCATGTGTTTCATAGCATATAACAGATACGTGAGTGTGTACTATCCCCTGGACTCTATGGTGAACAGATACAGTAAAACTAGAACTGCAAAGATGCTGGGGGCTTCCTGGGTTATAGCAGCAGTTCTGGCGGCACTTCCATTCACTTATAATGGATACACGCCGACAGGTTATTCATAGTAGGAAATTCTTCTCACCGTTTGTTTGCAATAAGTCTCACTTGAACTCTAGCTTCAGGTCTGCGACAGCCTGACCGATTTCGGCTGCAATATTGGTACCATGTGAAAGTTCTAGACGCAGAAAAACGTTCAAAAATTAAGCCTCGTTCAAAAAATTAAGCCAATCTGGAATGTAGGGAAATAAGAAAAACTGATTATGCTTTCATAGATCTTCTGCGAATCGTAGAAACCAATTTTATTTGCAATCATCAAGTAAATGTATCACAAAGATCCGAACATGATCGCGTGATTTTTTGTTTTCTAAAAAAATATATAATATAATTGTTTAGCCCTGCCATTCTGTTGTGTACTGGGTTTTGCCAACCTCAACTGGATTTCTGCTGCAGTTCTGGGCAACATGTATGTTTTTGGATTCCTGGGTCCCCTTTCTTCGATCTGCTGGCTCTATGTGAAGATATTCCGAAAGATAACTCAGACTACTAATGAACTGAGAAGGTCTAAAAACCACAGAAACAAGGTATGTTAGTGACATTGCATGGTTCTTATAAAGAGCAGCCCTTGTACTATGGCCCTCCAAAAGTATGGTCACCACAAGCAAATCATGCCCTTTCGAACTGAAACATTTTGAAATCAAGCTCAATTTTTTTCGTTGACTCACGCATAAAAAACAAACAATGGTGTCTAAAAACACTAAAATCACAAATCTTAGTTTGGTCAGAAGTTATGTAATCGTTAATTTTAAGTATATGATCTGTAAAAATCAAGACATGCCCCAACAATCTCATAGGATCTGGCCCTTTGGGTCTTATAGAAAAATATATCGAATAAAAACATGGATAGCCGGTTACCGCTGTTCATACTCTGCTTTTCAATTATTATTTTTTTCGAAGCAGAGTTGTTTTGTTTTGTGCGTCGTGTGATACAAGGATCTGACGAAAACCTAGAAATTAGGCATACTCGACAGTCTCAGTAAAAAAGGCAAATAGAGCAACAGTTTCAGTAAAAACCGACAAGAATGTACAAAAAAAAACCAAAATAAGTCTTTTTAAATGTTTTTTCGAAATTCTTTGAAAATATTTGAAAATTTTTTTTCAGTAGTTTCGAAACTTTTTTAATTAGAATTGAACTAAATTTTCATGGCCCTTTTTTCTAATGTAAGCTTGCTCGTTTGCTTTTTGCTGGAAATTAAAGTAAAACTAAAAAAATGCACACCAGTTTTTCTCGACACTGGGACAAATTTTTAGAATATTTTTATTTTCGCTCAAAACAAGGCTGAAAGGCTCTATCACAACCCTTTAAGCTGACTATTTAAAGATGAAGATAAATCTGCTCGCTCGCTTTACTCCCTCCGAAATAGACAAAAACCATTAATTCAAACCGGTTTTTCCTCGACTCTGAGATTGCTTTTTGGAAGTTTTTTTAATGTGGTTCAATTTACGACTGAAAAAGCTTTTTATGAATAATTATTCTATGCAGTCCGATGTTTGTTAGTGGTATTTGCATTTAGTGGGGAAAAAATTAAAACACAGCCCAACACGAAGTTTCTCCTCATTTTCAATGTTCGGAATAACAACTTTATGATAGAATTACACATCTACGACCTTGTTTTCAGGAGTTACCAGCACACTGCTATCTTTATAGGACATAAAAACACTTATCCTTTTTCTAAAAAAAAATCATTGATAAGCCTGCTTGCTCGTTTTATTTGCTCGGAATTAGACTAAAAGTTTTGTATCGCTTTTTATCGACATTGAGAAAATTGTTTTGAAATTTTTGAAAGTCGTTCGAATCACGGTTACGAAAACGCTAATGTGATTGCGTAGAAAACAAAAAAGTTAAATCACACCCGAATACAAAATTCTGCTTTGTTTTCGATGGTCTTAAGAAAAAAAAACTAAAACTAAATCAGATACAGTATTCCTCCTTATTTTCGATGACCGTAACAAATAGAATTACTTTATCTGTCTCATAATCGTTTTATATTTTCGAATGTAATATATCACGTTTTCAAGTCTTTCCAGAATCTCAATTTTGCAAAAAAAATTGAGTTGTTTAATTTATTTTTCAGAAAAAAAAAACGTAAAAACCATGTTTACAAAGCTGATTTAAATTTTCCGGACATAACGAACAAAACGTGAGACTTAAAATGCAGTTAACTCATATTGAGACAACTTTAGACAAAAAAGATGCTGACAAAACTTGTCTAGACCTTCAAAAAAGTTACTTTGGTGAAATTTCTTTTGCCAAATTCCGGCAAAAAATTTACCACAAAACGGACTAATTTTTGGCTCTGAAGTCAGTTAGAAAACAGGACAAATCATGTAAGAGGCGAGCTTAAAATTATCAACGTTAATTCTTATGTAGCCCACGAAAATTAAGAAGGGTAAAATCTCCAAAAGCAATTTTAAAGAAAATTGGAAATTTTTTAATAATAAAAATTAATTTTTTGGCTGTAAAAAGAGAATAGATATTTTAATTTCACTTTCTGATATAAATTTTCTATATAAAACATTATACCTCGTTTGAATGTTGTTGGACTACATAGGAGGCTCATGTTTGTTAGCAGTTCAACTGGTTATTTTGAAGTCATTTTTGATTGACTTCAACTGCTTAAAATTATTCGTTTTGTGTAAAATTTTTGACTCGAATTTCACAAAACAATTTGCAATACGTCAATTCTGCTAGAACTCTAAGCAAGTTTTGTCTCAACCTTTTTTGTCTAAAATTTTTTCAGTACTATTCATTGAGAAAAGATAAGAAAAAAACTCAAAAACTCAAAAACAATTGTTCTGTATTCAAACGACTCGCAACATTTTAAGAATTTAAGCCTATCATGCAAACTTTTCATAAGAATAGTTTCTATTTTTTTTGTGAATATATTTGTCTTGACGCGTTTCATTAAACAGAGCAACCATGATCGATTTTCTATTAAAAGTTATTGAACTTTTTTTTCCAGAGGAAAACCGAAATTCGTACTGCAATCACATCTCTCCTGTGTGTGGTCGTATTTGTCGTGTGCTGGATGCCCTATGCAGTTGTCATGGTAATCGGACATCTGCCAATCAAAAGACTGTCCACTGACTTCGAGCCAGTGACAATTGCAATCGCAGCTGTGTTCGCTAAAGTATCAGCTGCATGCAATCCTTTCATATACGGGTCTCTGCATGTTAAAAAGTTAGTCTTTGTGTAAAAAGCTTACAAAATTAGACGATAGAGTAACATCTAGGGCTAGCTATCTATTCCGTCAATTGGAGTTGGGGGGGGGGGGGGTTGTTGGTGAGTTCGCTACTACATTTGATGGGTAGAAACTCATCTTAAACTTAGATTGCTTCTTGATATGCTTCTTGTAGTTATTTAGCTGTCAATTATTTAGGATTTAGGGTAGTTAAAAAGATCTAAACCCAGAAAAAACTGATTTTGGCAGTATAACTGGTCTTCAAAAAAGTTTTGATATTTCAGTTTCCTCTTTTTATTCTCTGAACTTTATGCCCAGTTTTTATTTTAAAGCGTCGACTCAGATTTGTATTTCAATGCATAAGTGGACCCGAGAAAAAAAGAGTTAAGATTACCTTTAGACTAAATTTATGATTTTTTATAGTTAAGATTATTATGTGTATTATGATTTTTATAATAATTATTATAATTATTATGATCATTAGGTCTATTATTGAGATTGTTATTATAATTACTATGATTCTTATGATTATATTGATTTTTGATTTTTGACTATTATTATGATTATGATGATTCCTATTATAATGATTTCAATTGTTAATTTATTATTAGACCTATAAATATGATGATTATGATGTTTATGATGATTATAATTATTAATTTATTATTATCAGTGTAATTATTCTGGTTTTTGTATAATGACTCAGATGATTAATTTTATTATGATGTTTTTGATTATGGCTATTTTGTAATATTTTTTTTGTAAATATTGTTTTTATGATTATTTCCATGATTAATATGGTTTTTGTTACAATTATGATTGATGTTATTATGATTAATTTTTTGATTAATATCTTGATTATGATTAAAATAATTATGTTTATTTTAATTATTATAATCACTATTGTTATTATAAATATTTTGTTAAATATCATTATTTTTATTATGACTACTTCGAATATTATGACTACAAGGAATCATTTTTATCATTTTGATTACTTCTATATGAGTTTCGTGATTATGATTGATTATTATGGTATTTTTTAATTATTATGATTAATATTATGATAATTAATAGTTCTATTTTTATGACTTTTATGGTTCTAATTTAGATTATTATGGTGATTATAACAATAATTATGACGAGATTATTCTTATTAGGATTATTAAGATTACGGTTTTCAAGATTTTTATTTTTTTTGATTTTGATTAATTTTTGTTTCTTTTTTTTATGGTTTTTCAATGATTATAAAGATGATCAAAATTATGATTTTGAGAATAGGTATGACTTTTATAATAACTATCATGATTGTCATGATGCATGATTTTTAATGAAGTTTTTAAAATGCTTATTATGAATATAAATTTTTTGAATATGATAATGATTTTTATGATTTTAACTATTGGTTTTATGATTAATTTTTTTAATAATATTATGATGATCATTATTAGCATTTTATTATGATTCTTATTAAGATTACTTTTTAAACTATTTTTATTATGATTCATACTGTGATTATGTTTAGGATTGTAATGATTATGATTTTTATAATTAATCTAATGATTCATATTTTCAGGAGCAAAATTAATATAAGGTTTTATATTCTGATTATAATTATGTACATTATGACCAATGTGATGAGTATCATGATTTTGATTAGCATTATGCTTTTTATTATTTTTGTTTTTACCTGCAATCGTTTCTCATAATTGTGAGAATTTTTATTTTGCCAATTTGAATGTTAAATGCGTTCAGTTTTCAAGTCGCGAAGAGATGGCAAAAAGTTAATCTTACTATGACCCAAAACTTAATGCAAAACAAAAATCCAAGCTTTGCAGTGATAAGCACAAAATTTGGCACTTTGAATTTGAAAATGCCTGCTGAACAAAAATGATAAAAACTTCTGTTTTTTTTTCACTGATTTTTAGGCACGGTGAATGTTGGTCAATCTTTTATGAATGGTTTGCCCTTAAGCGTTTTAGCGATGAAGTTTTAATAGAATAATTTGTAGCTGTTTTCTTGAACCCCTACATTTCTTTCCATTGAAAGTTCCAAAATAAAAAAAAAATTTTGTTTGAGCTTCTGTTTTCATAAAGAAACCACCCGCATCCAGTTTCAAGCGTTAATAACCGATTTTAGTATGTTTTGTTTTTAGTACCAGTTTTTCAAAAATTGAGAAAAAAATCAGTTTTAATGGGATAATAATAGATTATAATATCTCTTTTTGAAATCAAATATTATCATTTATAATACATTTTAATCGATTATTTTTATCCGAACTTCTCATTCATTTGATTTGTAGAACAATCCATTATAATAGATTATAAATGTTTATATTCCTTTTTATTTTTCCATTTTGTCTTCGACCTAGCACCTGAATTGTTTATATTTCATGCTTTTCGTAGACGTTGATTTATGTATAAAAGCGAAAATTATTTTAACAATTTTCAAATCAATTTAAACCTAAAATGTTTATATTTTTTCATTTCTTCTAGCCTCCAGTTGCTCAATGATGCACTTTTTAAGTGTTTTTGCCCAAAATATCAGCACACTGCTTTAGTTTCATGATTCATATAGAAAAATTATATTTCACCTACCGCGCAGTTCTTTAACTAATAAGAAGGAACATCTATGAAGTTTTTGTTTCGAGGTAAAACTCTGTGTTCAGATGAACCAAGGAGTGACAAGACATCTCACTTTTAAAAAAATTTTACAGAAAAAATAATTGTTATCTTTATAATAGATTATAATAGATTATGTAAGAATATAAGAGATTTTCGGTTATAAAATTGATTATAATTTATTATAATGTCACAAAAACGTTATCATTGTAATGGATTATATGTCGTTTAAACATCTTATATGAAAATAAGAAAAAATATCAATTTATGCCCGCACTGCTAAGAATCATGAAGGCAGCAAGGCGATGTGGCACATGCAACAGTACATTAAAAACCAACTGTGAGCGCAGAAGCTTCAATCAATTATAAGAAAGTTTTTCTAAATTAACTTTCATTGATTTTAATCATAGCTTTTTCGTGCTTTTAAAGCTCCCAATTGCTAATTTTTTACTGGTTGCTACTGATTTGAACAACTTACTTGATCGAACAACTTATTTGAACAACGTTTTGTTTCCACTGTTTTGCTACTGATTTGAACAACTTATTTGATCGAAAAAGTACTTTCGCTTAGGTTAATTACCTAGCAGTTGTTTCTAGTTAATTGGATTAAATATCATGTTATGTGGAAAAAATAGGCTTTTTCAGGGTTAAATAACTTCGTTTCGACCGAAAATGCAGACGTTTTTGATCGAAAATGCATATTGCTAAAAATTTGACATTAAGTAAGATTTAAGTGTAGTATTATTTTTTAAAATTTCAGATGGTCGGACTACAAAAAGTCCCTACGATCCCATTCATCATCTATGCTGCGAAGCAGTCATCATCGCAGCAGTGGGAGGGGATTCGCTTCCCGAGACAACGGGAGAAGACGATCGACCAGGCCGGGGCTGAATCTTGGCGCAATGCATCATCAAGGAGCGATGGTGAAGAATTGAAAAACAGAAGACATAATTATTATTGATACATAGTGCGAGTCAATTTTATCAAAAACTTTCAAAAACTTTAAGCTTACGTCAATATGACAAAAAAAAATCTGCGTACGAAAACAAATCAGGGGCTGTTTTGCGCGAAGTTTTCTGCGCCCCTTTACTGCTGTGGGAGAGGGGGTTTCGAACTTCGAACATGCTTATTGCTGTTTTCTCAAACACAAAAAATAGACCGATTAAAGCGATCTGGAATTTTGAAATCTTTTCGCAGAGCTCGAAATTTCCATTTGTCTGAATCTAAAAAAAATGACAGACATTGATAAACTCTCCCCCCCCCCCCTATCAAAAGCGAACGTCATAGATCCGCCCATCATTTGAACCATAGTAAATTAGCTTTATATTGTACATTGGTTTTTTTATTAGTCGTTCAAGTAAAATTGCTAAAGTAATTGATGTGAAAACTTACTGTTTGATTTACAAAAAAAATGAATTAGTTGTAATCAATTTTTTTTGCGTTCACATTTGGAAAAGTTTTAGGAAATGAAAAAAGTTTATCCCTTTATTCTAATAAATTTTTCTCATTGCAAATAAAAAAATCTAAGTGCAGTTTAATAAACGTTTTCAAAGTGTATTGGAAATAATAGTTTTCGAAAGCTTAAACATTACACGTTTCGTTCAGGGCGCTAAAAATGTTAACGTATAGAAAACTGACGATCATTTTGGCAGATTTTTATTGGCAGATTTAGGGAAAACGTCCTGATAGATGGGGGGGGGGGGGAATTAGTTTCCAAATAATAAAGACTCATCAGGCATTAAGTTCTAAAAATGATACACGTCAAATAAAGATGAAAAAGGCAAACGAAAAAATTTCATTGTTGTTTTTAAAAACTACAGAAAAAGAGTCGATAAGTCAACATAACTTTGAACGTTTTCTGGAAAAAAATCAAAACATGCACCCTCGCTTGAACCCTAGATCTGCATCGGCGTTAATTATCAACGAGAGAAAACCTTGTGTCCAATTTTATTTGTCTTCAAATTGTGAATTACCCCATTTATCTATAATGAAATCTCAAAGCGTTCTTCAGCGGCTGTGCAATAAACAATAAAGCTTTATTTTGACCAATTCTAATTTGTTTCTGAAATTTTTGCCTAAAATTCCTAACTAATTTCCCCTGGAGCTTAATTTATGTTCCTTGTTTTGAAAAAAAAATTGCATTTGTTTTATTTAAAAAAAAGATTATTTTGTCTCAAAGTGATACTAGGAAAAGCCCGTATTGATATAGCATCGAACATCAGAATTGCTTCAGCTTTGAGACAGCAAAAAATTGCAGAACTCTGACATAAACAAAGCTAAACGAATCTGAGCCATACTGTTATTAGAACCAAACACAATTAAAATTAACTCTGTCCAATACACGAAAAGTGTTTGCAATACAATTCCATATAAGAAAAAAGCTTTTCAGTTAAGTTAGGACCATTTGTCCACGAGGGAAAGGACCAACATACGAACTGCACAGATCTTCACCACAAACCGTGGTTGTGCCCCTGTTTACGAACTACATCCAAATTATTTTGGTCCTTTTTCTGGGCTAGGTAATGTTGCTTCACTTATCAAGCAACGAGCACGGATCATGGTGGGCCTCGGACATTCGACCTTTCGATTGAGGGGCGGATATATAACCACTTCATCACCGCTACGAAAAGGAGAACATGAAAAACATAAATACCTAACAATTTCCCTAAATGAAAGATGTAAAATGAGCAATATTTTTTTATTTGGCAGCGAAAAATCAGAAAACAATTTTTCTCTTGTCATTCGCAATATTATTTTTATGTTCAATTATTCAGTTTTAGAAAGTTTGCATGGCACTGATATATCGTTTAAACTCAATCAAACATAATGAAGTTTGCAAGCAAAATTTTTTGAGATTGCTTATAACTTAACCAAGGCTGAAGTTTTCACAAGAAAAAGTTTAAAACGACAACAAAATTGTCGTGCAAACATAAATTTAAAACTCAAATTATCGCAAAAAAAAAACAAGAAACAATTTTCATTTACTATTTTTCGATTAAGTTGTTTCGAAACCGTTAGCTCATATTTGTTGTTTTGACTAATAGATCTGCAAAAAATAAACTCAAAAAAATCTACAATTGCAGATTATCTATGAGCAATTTTCCACTGGTTTTTCTTATTTTACAAATTTTATGGTTTTTGTGTTTTCAGACAAAACACAAATATAAAAAAGAAACCCCAAAAAGTATTTATGTTAGTTTAAGGAAAACAAGGATAGTCATACATTTTTAATGATTGGAACTTAATAATAAGAGATATCATATTGTAACTATTGAATAAGAGCTAAAAAGATCTAATACGAACTTATTTTTAATGATTTTTTTAATCAGCGCTGAAAATCATCTTTTTTAAAACCAGAAGGAAACTCATTCGGAAACTGTCTAATAGTGATGGAAAAAAAATTTGGAATATTACAAAATGTTGATACTGTAAGAAAACTGTTGCTTGAAGCCATATTTGAAAACTTAACTTTCTCTGAAACATGGTTTAAAAATCACCAATTTTTCTAAGCTTCATTTCTGGAAGTTTCAGAATTCGCTCTTCCTTTCCGCGGCTGCAAATTTCAATGATTTGGTTTCAATAGTATCAAATTTTCAAGCAAACTAGAAGAAAAAATCAAAAATTAAAAAATAAAATTTTTTTCACAGAAAGTTCTCTAATTGGAAAAAAAGAAATGAGCGCCAAAATTTAGCAAAAAAAAAAACGGCATTCTAAGGCTGGGTTCTTTTTTCAAAAACAAATGTACTTGTTTGGCAAAAGGGCGTTAAAAAGCACTGATTGGCTTAATTTGAAAACAGTAGAACGGTACTAAACCAGTAAATTCCTCTTTAAAAGCGAACGCTACTGATTTACGATGAAAATTTGTTTGTCACAAATTGACGGACAAAAATTTTTATGGCATCTTGGTTATAAAATTATCAGCACTAGAAAAGAAGAAAATCTGGTACTAAAGAATATATAGAGTAAAGATCTGATGAAGTGCTGCTACTTGAAATATTCTGACCGAGGTATTTTCAGTATGAAAAGATTTTTAGCAAATATTTTCCGATAGAAAAGAAAATTAATGAAAATATAGATTATTTAAAGGCAGCGGTTGCTCTTTGTTTCGACCTTTCACCTAACTTATTTCAATATGTTCTAATACACTTACTTTCTACCACGACTTGTGTTTTTTTTCCAACAATTATTGTCGTAGCTTAACAAGTTGCTTCTTTCTTTCCTAACAACGCATCAAAATTTTGATACAAAAAGAGATTTTTAATTAGTTTATGGTTCTTAACTTTTTTTCAGGTTTTAATTGAATGCTTCCTCTTACATGCTTTAGTTGCTGCAAAAACGATACTTTCTTTTGCCAATAGCTTAAAGATACCTATAATCCCTTGACAAGGGACTACTGCATGATTTTTTGTTTGCTCATTTCTCTTTTTACCACTCAAGTTTTTGTTCCAAGAAACCAAAAATGGCTACGATTTGATTTTTTAAGAAAAAAACTGAAAATGTTATTAAAAGCTTAGAACCAATTTGCCATTGTTTTGCTTTTACTTTCTTTTTTGATGAAAAATTGCCTGTTTTGGTTTTTCTCTACCTGATGTCAAAAAGATTTTACCAGATTTTGATCTCATTTTGACTTTTTAGCGGAGTAAATATTGAAAGGATTAGTAGAGCTGAAACAGGAATAATCGATCAGTCAATTGAGATTAGTTTCTCAGAGGTGCAACCACAACCATTTACGAATTTCCTGTTAGATTTATTTCAACATACAGAGGCGGATCTAGGACTTTCTCGAGGATGGTGGATTTTCCAAAAAAAATCAAAATTTTTTAAAATTTTTTTTAAGTTGACCACCTTGATTATTTCAGCTCCCTCGAATCATTATAAAGACTCTCTTTTTACCAAGTTTTTGACGCCACAGGCAAATATTGGGAAAATTTGATCAAAAAATGGCGTTTTTCGGCGCGTTCTTCCTCAAAAATAGTATATATTTTCTCCGAAGGCGTCTTCAGAAAAATACGGTGTCGGTCAGCCAATAAATGGGTATCTCAAAAGAGTACAAAAAGGGGCCCTTTGGTTCGGCAGGGGGTCGAAATCCTGAGGAAAAGGGCGTCCACCCTCCACCACTCCCCCTAAATCCAGTACTGTATGTATATTTTGACTATATGGGAGTTAGAAATCAAGAAAAACGACTCGGTTGGGAAAACCACGTGTCCAAAGCACGAGAAAAAGGAGATTTACATAATTCTTTCCGGTGGGATGAGGCAGATGCAAAATTTCGAAGTTATATTTTTCTATGTCTTGGTGCTGAAGGGCAACGACAGGTTGAACAAAAGAGACCAGGCCTTGACTTTTATACTGTGACCACAAGAGACTTAATAATAACTTTAGAAGATATTTTCGTCACAATTAGAATCGTAGTTTTTGAGAGGTACAGTTTTGTTGGTAGAAAGCAGAAGAAAATTGAAAATCTTGAGCAACTCCACGCGGATCTGGTCGAATTAGCTTCGAGGTCCGATTGTGGAGATCGAGAAGACGAGTGGGTGAGAGACACGCTCACCGCACATATTCATAACGAGAAACTTGCATAAGAACTACTAGCCCAGATGCCAAGCCCCCAAGTTGCATATGATTATGCAATACGCCGGGAAAAAGGTATTGAGCATAGTCGCACAATGAAAAAAAATGCATTCGGAAATCAAACAACAAAGACAAAAGAGGAACCAGTACACTATATCGACACACGTGGCCGTAGTAATTATGCTAAAAACCAAGGTTCATAGAGAGGTCGGGGCGGATTCCTCGGTCGACCATATCCACGTGGAACACAAAATACAAGAAGACAACAACAATGGAACGCAAACTTCAATACTCAGAAACAATGATACAAATGCGGCAATCAATTCGGACAGAATCACTAACAATCGTGCCCAGCAAAGGACAAAAATTATTCAAAATGTACCAAACGACCAGGAAACGTTAATTAAATGGGGACCGCATCAATGAGGAACAACAGGAGGAAATCGAAACTGAGGGTCAGGAAACGGATAACGATCCAGTGGCATTCGCAACATTTACATCCAGAGTTGATACGACTACC